TGTACCCCAGCAGCCTGCTGGTACCCTTGTTCCAAGGACTGGGGAGTCTCACAGGTGCTGTAAGCAGGTCCTGCTGCCTGTCAATAGGCATGGGTCAGACCCACAGAGCAGAGTAACACAGGGGCTGCCTTGAAGCTGCTTTTTTGTTTTGCTGGTTGTCACAAGACCTGCCTCTACTCTGTCCAAACTTCACACCTCCTTTATGCTGTCAGACATCCTCTCTCCTCAAACTCATTTTCATTTTACCCCCCATTACCCCTGTCTTTCACTAAATGCTCTTTCTGTACCTCTCTCCTCTTCATCTCGCTTTCCAGCTCCTTTCTCTCAGCTACCTTTATTTTGGCTCTATATCACAAGCCCCTTTATGCAACAGCATACATTCACCCAAAGGAACGACTCTCCAGCTTAGTGTTTGCACAACTAGACAATCACGAAAACAATTGTTTCTAAAGGGAAAACAGTCATGTAGAAGCTCTTGGGACAGCCCTTGCTTGCTTTTCCTTAGAGACACCAGAGATGGAAGAAGAGACCTGTGCTCAGCTTGAGGTAGACTGTTTTACCAGGGCAGTGATACTAGGATAGCAGTTCTACTACTTTAGTCCCATCATTAACAGAAAAAACCCTGAAGAGAATGGCAGACCATAGTCTGCCTGGAGTTTCATTCCCCCTGGCTCTAGGAAAAAGGTCATTCTCCCAGCCCAGGCACTCCCCAGTCCCCTCATCCATTGCATTGCCCTTGACCCCTTCTCCTGCTCTGAGGACAGCCACCATACCATGCCCATTATCCATCCCAGCCCTGAATTTCCCCCACCTCTTCCATCTTCTACAGGAGGACAGAAAAGAAGGGTACGTGGTTACCTGCAGTTCCAGGACTGACTCTCCCTTGGGAATTCATTCTCTCCACTAGTGTGAAAACAGAGTTCACTCTTCTCCAAAAGCCCGCATTACCAACGTGATCACAAATGTAACCTTCCTACTACAAGGGAAAACGCCCACACTGGTGAGGAACCTTCACAATCTCTAATCTGGTGTGCAAAAAACCCCATATCCTGACGGTTCTCTACAGCAGTAGAGATTGGGGTACTTTCATCATTTCCCTGCAAGGACATATCAGAAGACATTTATTGCAAATAATAACACAAAGAGACAGAAGGGAACAGATGAAGAGTAGCATCATTCCAGCTCAAACAATCTCCAATGCAGATACTCAAGAAGTACTAGCCTTCCTTCTTTGGTACTTGCTCTTTCCTGGTGAGGGAGTGTGTGTGTGAAAATGCCTGTGCTGTTGGTATTTCTTAGCAAAGGGCTAAATCCACTCACAACATGCCCTTTTCTGGAAGCAGAGTTGCCCTAGCCTCACACACTTCCTGCTGCAGACGCAGGGTTCGTGTGTATCCACACCACTTCCTACAGCCCGCTGACCCACAGGCCGGTGGGACAGCACAGGGTCACATACGCACACTGCAGCTGTGGCTCTGTACCTGCTGCAGCCCTCACTGCCACGAGTGCAGGCCACCCACGGCATCCACGGTGAGGGTGCTCTCTTACAGACAGATGCTGCAAAGTTGCAGAACAGCCTGATGTCGACTGCCACTTCCTTCCCATTTCTCTGTTTTCTTTCTATTGCCTTGTTTCTTCCAAATTTGGTTTTCAGACTGATATTTCTTTGTCTCAGAAGCCTTTTCTTAATTCTCCAATTACTGTTAACCTGGTGGTCCTCTTATTCTTTAACAGCAGCTCTGCTTCAACAGAGGGGAGATGGCCTTTGTTTTAGTTCCTTAGAGAACAGTCACAGAGCCAAGAGTTGCACTTGCAGTTGCATTTGCTATGCAGAGATGGCACTGTTTGGTCAGGAAAGCCTGGGCAGATGATGTTTCCTGGGGCAAACAAAAGTGAGAACACACGGGCCAGGATGGGGGAAGAGGTTGAGAAAAAGTGAGATCCGTGGTGGCATATGGTCTGCAGCAGGACATGAAGATAATTCAGTAGGCAATGAACTGCTAGAAGGGACTTCATGTGCAGCAGCAGCCCTGCCCTGCCCCTTGCAGCCTCTTCTGCAGCATGACCTGGCCTGGGCAGGCATGCCCTTACAGGGACCATGGAGGATTGGGCCTTCCAGGAATGCTGCTACATCAGGTGAGCTTGGGATCAGCTCTGACTTGGGAAGAGAACTTCTTCCTCCACGTGACACTCAAGGCCCAGAGTGCACTGCTTTTCCCAAGGGAGCAAGTCCAGAGGGAGAGCCTTGGAGATGGAGGTAAAAGGACTGGAAGCAGAGGGCTGGAGCACCTCTCCTTTAAAGACAGGTTGTGGCATTTGTACAGCCTGGGGAAGAGAAGACTCCAACATGACCTTAGAGAAGCCTTCCAGTCCCTAAAGGAGGCTTACAGCAAGGCTGCAGAGGCACCTTTCACAAGGCTGTGTCGTGATGGCACAAGGGTTCATGGCTGTAAACTGAGCGAGGGTAGGTTAGATTAGATTCCAGGAAGAAATTCTCTACAGTGACGTTGGTGAAGCACTGGCACAGGTTTCCCAGAGGAGCTGTGGATGCCCAATCCCTGCAAGTGTTCAAGGCCAGGCTGGATGGGGCTTTGAGCAACCTGCTCGAGTGGAAGGTGTCCCTGCTCAAGATCCAGGGCTTGAAACTAGATGATCTGTAAGGGTCCTGTCCAACACAAACCATTTCACAATTCAAGGATTATACTCCTGCAGATTAGAGATGGAAAGAGAGAAAGAGGGATATGCACACACTGCACAGAGACTTTTTTCATTGGTCTAATACTGTATTTCTCTTGCATACGATTTGTTCAGCAAAACCAGGGCAAGTGCAGGACATTCTGTGTGTGACTCAACAGAAAGCAGAGACTTCTGCTCAAGCAGACAAAGGAACTTGCAACTTAGGACATCTGTCTTCCATTCCTGTGTCTTCTTCCTGGAGAACTCCATGTCTTTTCTGCCAGTGGCCACTGGACCCACTGAGAGAGAAGAGGACACAAGAACACAGGACCTGCTTTGATGACCCTCAGCCTCCATGTGTTCCCTCAGCCCCTCCATGCACTGGGGATGCTGGACAAAGGGTCATATCACTTCCACTCCCGTTATCCCACCCAGCACAGTGAAGATGCAGGCCTCAGGGCTCTCCACCCCTCCCAGCACAGCCCAGCACCAGTCCCAGCTCACTGCTCATCTCTCAGTTTTACTAAGGATGAGGGTATCTTCATCACACAGTCACGGCAGCACCTTCACAAATTCGATGATACATCAAACATCGGACATTATTCCAGTTGTTGGGTATTTCTGAATCCCTATGTATTGCAACACAATCCTCATCCTTGTTATCACTTGGTTCATTTCTCTGCCAGAACCTGAGACAGAGACAGGCATGTTACTCCCCAGCTTTCATTCTAAAACACTCCTGGAAAAGGCCACAGAGGGATGCAGGACTTGAAGGGGAGAGACAAAGATTCCCACTGCTGATTCATGGACAGAAGCAGTACCCTTCTTCCCTCTCTGATATCCCACTGCCACCAGTGTCACATGGGAACCTGCCTTCTTCCTACAGCCTTCCAACACAGAAGGACCCTGATCCTTCCTTCTGGAGGGAACTGATCACCAGCACTCAACCCATCAGCTTCACACCCAGCAGAGACATGTGTCTGTCTCCAGGGCAAGTTTGTGATCCCTCCCTCTCACACACCCACAACACCCTCACATCTCCCCTTCTTTCTTGCACTACCAGGAGCCACACCAATCACTCTCCAGCC